CAAAGCATCTGTAATAAAACATCTGTTATGACAAGTGAACAACTGTTTGTGTCCGTCCGGTGAAGTCCAATAATCCCTCTCCTTTTAGCTCTGGTTTGGTCTCCTCCATCTCCTGAAAAAAATATCCGGCTCTTTAACTCTTAGATGTTCTCCAGCAGCTAGTCTCTCACTGTCTGCCTGCTGCGTGCTGCGGGGCAGGTGCTGTACCGTGGCTTTATCACAGCTTGTTTGCTGAAAACAAGGTGAGGAGATTTTTGATTGTGTTCAGCACAAACGACAACTGAGGGGAAAAAAACTCCCAGTCTAACAGTTACCAGGCTGGGAAGGTCTTCATCATCATTACCTGAGTCAAGACTCAGGAGGCAGCAACAGAAGACACCTACACTTTTCTGTGATAAACTGCAGATGCCATGATTTCTGGTTGGTGCCTCCAAACTGCTGTTACCTTCCTGTGTACTTTCTCTTGACAAACTCACCCACTGATGAGAGGGAGGTGCAGAAATATCACACATAGGTACAGGTAATTAAGCAATGACAAGTAGAGGAATCAACAGGGCCTCAGATTACGCTTGTACACTGTTCATATAGGCGTGTGTTATTCTGCACTTATTACTTAAAATCAAAATGAACGCCAAGGGAAAACTTTTATAAAATATCTTGAAGCTACAGTATCCAACTTCTTGTTTTGAGTCAGCAAACTGTTTGCCTCCTCCCCCTCATCCTGTCAAGCTGATGCACCAACAGGGACAGCAGTAAACCAGCGGCCCATGCCTGAAAAGCTAGCCTAGTTGGTGAACACCACTGATAATGGGAAATGAGATGTAATTATTTTCTTGCACAAATGTATGGTGACTATTGCATTGATAATTGAGTTAAAGTTGCAGAAACAAGCTGCTGTTTTAATTAAAATTAAAAGAAGTACAACTGTTATTCAGTGCAGCAATTTCAAAGATGTGTCCCTAAAAGAAGAGTCTGAGTGTTATGGACATGTAAAATAAAAGAAAGAAAAAGATTTTAATGAAAACTGTCAGTTATTGAAACTCAGAAGTTCTAATTCACGCCCCAAATATCCAAGCTGGCCAATCACTGGGCAGTATAGGACTTACTCTAACTGTGGTCCTACGCTTTTATGGCGGTGCTCCATTTACTCGTATGCAAAAGGCGTTGTTATCCAGCTTTTTGTTGCTGACTTTTTTCAAGTTAGCGTATGGTCAAAGCTGTTCCTGGAGAGGTTGAAATGAGAAGTACGATTTATTCACTTTCCAAAACCTAAAACAAATCCAGAAAAATGTAGGCTGTGGATTGTTCCTAAAGTGATGTTAGTTGGCTAAAGAGAGACCAGGGTTCAATTCCCCACTGTGACCCATCCCTGAGCAAGACACTTAAGCCCTAGTTGCTCCAGAGGCGTGCGACCTCTGACGTGTATAGCAATTGTAAGTCACTTTGGATAAAAGCATCAAATGTAAACATCATGGAACTGACATACCATGAACCTCAATCACCATTGTTTCCTCCTTCATATATAAATCTCACGCATGCAAAAGACTGCGAAAAAACAGCAGAATTCCAACATGCACGTTGAGTTAACACGCAATCACAAGGAGCTTACATCCAATTACAAGGACGCATGCAAGTGACAAATACTAGCAAATAACAGCACAAATGGGCGGACTTATGTGAAAAGAGATGTTTTTTAAATGTTAAAGCATGTAAACATTTTCCCTAAATACAAGTATGAACCTGAAAATGAGCTTTCTATGGCACCTTGATATGGACACATGCATAAATAAGTGAAATGCAGTCACATGCCAAGGTTATTTAATTAAAAAACCCAGGTCCACCTTGCTAGCTTGTTCACTCGTACTGTTGTGTTGACAGGTAACTGTAATAAGTAGTGGTCCTCCTCCACAGAGAGGAGCTGTGACTAAGAGCTGGATTCTGATGGCGACACGTTTTTGCCCGTAAAAGGAATATCGGATCATCGTAAGGAGCCTCTCCAATCCCTCCTCTAGGCTTAATGAAGACATTTTACAACTGCCATTCAAACCTGCTGTGCTAAAGAGCGATGGATAATGATCAACTTTACAAAAGTGGCTCTCTGCCAATGACTGTGTAAATGCATTTTACTCTTTACCACTTGTTAAGTAATCAGTAACCATGGATAAGTAAAACCAATCCATTCACAAGGCTTTTTAATGACACATTTTTTTAAATTGAGGTCTTTAGAACTGCCTGAGGGAAGCAAAACAAATTGTGCTGGTGTTTATATCACCCTTTCATTTTCTCATTGTTGAAAGTTCTTACTACTTTGCCACGAGGCATCAGTGAGGCATGAAGCCTGTCTCTTTTTGATTAGTCTTATTTACATGATGAAACCTCAACTCGAAACAGAATTACCCCCTCTTCACTTAAAGCACTTGTCGTCTCATTGGGAAGGCTTCAGTCTTCAATTAAAGTGAAATGGAAATACCAGAAATGGTCAAATAGACATACCTTTTTTTACATTATTTTCTCAAGAATGATGGAAAACAGCCCTGCATTTAAACTGTGCAAGGGGCTGCATTGGTTGGAGCCAGGTTCAGCTGTACGAGCCTTACGAACAACTAGCAACTTAACAAATGTTCCACAGCAGAGCAGAAACTAAATGGACACTGAGTGGCAGTTACCCTGTAAAAGCATTTTGTGGTATTTCAATAATTTTCATTCAAGCTTCACACATGTGGATCATATCTTGCCTCCATATTAAAAGCAATATTTTGTAGGGAGAAGGACCGCATAATAACACCATATCAATGCACAAAGGTTGCAGGAAAGGTTTTTCTAAGTTTTTAAAAAAAAAAATTTAGCAAAAAATGAAAACCCACAATTGGCTGCGTGCTTAGATTAACTTCAAGACATATTTAACAGGCTGAATGAATATAGTTTTGTACAGGTGAAGTCACAAATGTGCAGCTTGGGATGCTATTAGTAGTCCTTTAGGCATGTCAACCTATATAAGTGCTAAAACAAGACTACTGCAATGCTAGCAGCTATGGGAGACTATGAAAGCACGCTAGCTATAGTCCACATGCTAATATGCTCACAATGACAATGCTAACATGCTGTTACCATGTTAACATCTTAGTTTAGCATGTTAGCATGATACAATTTGCTAATTAGCACTGAACAGAAAGTAGAGCTGAGGCTGACGGTAGCATCAAAATATTAAACAAATTATAATTTTGAGCTGATGGTGGTGCTATATATAAAGGGAAAAGAGGGTCACCAGTTATTACAATTCATGACATTTGGTCCAGGCATTCATGTTGCCCTCGGGGTAAATTTTTAGATATTTCAGCTATCCCTAGAGCCATGCTCTTTAATATCTTTGCAAGGATGTGATGTATATGATTTGTATGACCAAATGAAACCAAACTAAATTCAATCAGGGGCCCTCACACACTCCAGTTGTCACCGGAGTTCCCCCTCAGGACCTTATCAACACAACTCTGTAATTAATCCTCTTTCTATATGTGTCTAACACCTGGATTTAACACAGTAACACATTTGGGAAGCTGAGGGGAAGCTGCTCTTGTGTAAGCCAGCTGCCGGTGTACCTCCTTCCATCTGAGCCATTACCCCCAGGAAAGGTTAGGCACCAAATGGGAGGAAATTACCAAGTAGAACGGCTAGGTTTTTGTCACCAATGTCAACCTGTACGGAGGCAATTTGTTGCAGTGGACAATGATAGGGTAGTGAGAAGCACAGCTGACTGTGAGGAGAGAGGAAGCCTCTCCTGAGGACACTCTTTGCTTGTTTGGAGGGAGGAAATTATAGGATGGACAAAAGGGGATGGCTCTTATGGTTATTATCATTATCACTATCGCTTCAAGACGGTATTTTTAGTCTCAGTCACTGGAAACGTTCTGTATGTCATTGTATCCTGGTTGCAGAGCTCGAGTAAAAGTGTGAGTGTGTCTGTTTTTGTCTCTCCATTGTTAAGAGGTGAAAAATTACATAATTAGTAGCAACATTGCCATTTTCAGTATTGATTTGAGGTAGTTGAACATCAATGCAGGCTGTTGGCGCTTCCATGTTGGTTTCAGAAATGAAAAACTGTCCTCAATCCACCTCTGAGTATCTGCCCATACTTGTTTTTCTTTAATATTTGTCAAGCTGAATCATTTGTCTAATTCTCACAATACCATAAATTGATAAAATGTTTAGAAGATAACATTATTTAATTTTTTGTAAAACATTCGCTACCTTCTTAAAGCTATAAACTCTGAGTTTCAAAGGAAATTTAAAAAGTTGCTTGAACAAATGTAGGAGAGCAGTTTCATTATTACAGTTGATTACAATGATCCTGGAATTGTTTATGCTTAGGCTGGGTCTTTTTTTATTAGAAGTTTCAGGCAGGTTTGGATTCATAATACTACCACTTGGAGTGGCAGAAGATGCCAAATTCAATTTATCCATTACTTTTAGCTATACATATCTTTTGTATTTACTCCTCTGCTTGTGTGCTAACCTTTTTTACACACTTTAATCACCACATCTACAACTGACTCAGGTTGCTGGGAACCATGCCCTGTGCAGTCAGCCTATTATAGTTGCTAGCTAATTGGTTATCATGCAAATAAATATACTAAGGATCAGCCTCAAACCAATTTGTCTTCAATCTTGTGTGTTTGTTTTCCTCCTAAACACGAATATGTGGATGTATAGATTTTTAACAACCATTATTTTAAATAAGATAAGCTTCTCCACAATCTTTCCACTGGCAACTGCAGAACTGCCGCTCATTTGGAATCCCTTCTCCAGATCCATAAATACCTTGTTTGACTCTGTTGTGTTTTTCTGTCTGGGGCTAGTTCTGTTTTCATGCCTCTTAATTGCTTTCTGGGGTTGACCAGTGCTTGTGATTGTAGTAACCATCATGTCTGATCTTCAGGCTCTAAGGCCCTATGACAAATGACACTAATGAATGTGTTTCCCTCATCTTCTTGTCCTCTCTCTAGTTTGTGAAGTTTGCCAATATTGAGGAGGACACGCCGTCCTACCATCGCCGCTATGACTTTTTTGTGTCCCAGTTCAGCGCCATGTGCCACTCTACTCATGAAGATACTGAGACCAGAACCAGGTAAGAAGATACCCTTCTCACAGAGACATGTCTCCTTCGAAATAATTTTAATTAATAATTTTTTAATCTAGTAATAAATTAAAACAAAACACAAAAGGTTTAAATTGCTTTTCAACACTGATGATGATGATGGTGATGATAATAATATTAAAAAAGTAGCTAAGAACTTTCTGTGCAGCAGATGCTGGTGATTCTTAAGAGTTTTAAGACATTGAGTTGGCATTTCTTGCATGGTCTTAAACTGCTTTGGCAGTATATGTTTCTACTCCTCTATATTAATGTTTTTAGGTTTTTATCATGTTTTCCTGCATTCCATGTGGGCTCAATTTTTTGTACATACAGTCCCCTCCAACAGTATTGGAACGGTAAGGCAAATTCCTTTGTTTTTGTTGTTCACTGAAGACATTTGGGTTTAAGATCAAAAGATGAGTATGAGACAAGAGTTCAGAATTTCATTTCCTGGTATTCACATCTAGATGTGTTAAACAACTCAGGACCTACCACCCTTTGTTTGAACCCACCCATTTTTCAAGTGAGCAAAACTATTGGAACATGTGACTGACAGATGTTTCTTGTTGCCCAGGTGTTGCCTTTTAGGTTGATTGTCCAAACATTAAATAGCTAAAAAAGTTTTCATCCTTGGTTCAAACCTATAAAGACTGCATTTCCTGTTTAAAGAGGATAAACCAACATGAAGACCAGAGAGCTGTCTGTGGGAGAAAAGCACGCCATTGTCAAGCTGAGAAAAGAAGGAAAATCGAGCAGAGCCATTGGACAAACATTGGGCATAGCAAGCACAACAATTTGGTATGTCCTGAAAAAGATAGAAACTACTGGTGTACTGAGCAACAGACGTCCAACAGGTCGGCCAAGGAAAACAACAGTAGATGATGACAGAAATATGGTGAGAGCTGTGAAGAAAACCCACAAAACATCAGGAAGTGACATCACCAACGACCTCCACAGTGAAGGTATCACAATCCACTGTTGGAAGAAGACTCAGAGAGCAGAAATATAGAGGCCACACCACAAGATGCAAACCACTCATCAGCAGGAAGAATCGGAAGGCCAGACTGAAATTTGCAAAGAAGTACAGAGATGAGACGCAAAAGTTCTGGAACACAATCTTATGGACTGATGAGACCAAGATTAATCTCTAGCAAAGTGATGGAAAGGCCAAAGTGTGGAGAAAGAAAGGAACTGCTTATGATCCGAATACATAGCCGATACAAGCTCATCTGTGAAGCATGGTGGAGGTCATGTCATGGCTTGGGCGTGCATGGCTGCTTCTGGAACAGGCTCATTAATATTTATTGATGATGGAACTGATGATGGTAGCAGCAGAATGAATTCAGAAGTGAACAGAAACATTTTGTCTGCCAATTTACGGAGAAATGCATTGAAACTAATAGGGAGGACGTTTATCATGCAGCAGGACAATGACCCAAAGCACACTGCCAACAAAACAAAGGACTTTATCAGGGAAAAAGGGGAAGGTTTTAGACTGGCCAAGTCAATCAGCTGACCTTAACCCAATAGAGCTGCATTTCACCTCCTTAAGAGAAGACTGAGGGGAGAAACACCCCGAAACAAACAAGAACTGAAAGAAGAAGAAGCCTGGAATAGCATCACAAATGAAGAATGCAACAGTTTGGTGATGTTGATGGGTCGCAGGCTTGAGGCAGTTATTGCAAGCGCGGGTTCTGCCACCAAACATTAAATGTTGTTTACTTTAAGATTATTTGTTCCTTTACTTTTATCTCCTTATAATGTCTTATTGTGTAATCAAGCAAAAGGAAAGAGAAATTCTGGTTTATTACTGTTGTTTTGGCGTTATCCTGTTGGTAATAAAAATATTGTATTCAAGTTAATAGCATTACATCAGGGACTGCAGCAACAAAGGCTGACATCTTGATACCAGGGAAGTGACAAATATTTTGAGGTGTAGGGTCTCAAGTGGGGAAAAAGGGCACTTTTTATAATTATATATTTAAATTTTAAACACAAATAACTTTAACTGGGGAAGTTCTGTTGTGATATGCTTTAGTTGGTTTGTTTATCCTATTCATCTGCAATGTCTTGTATGTAAATTAGTACATTTTAATTAGTTAATGCCTAATTTGAATATCAAAGTTATTAGACATTTTACAGTATTCACCTGTAGTGTCTCCATTAAGTACAGTACATTAGCCTGTATGGCCATGATATATTGCCTTTAGCTAGCTAACTTATTACATTAGCTAGTAGCTTATGAGTCATGCATGTTTACAAGACAGAAGTCAACTGTATTGGTCTTTTGGCTAATTAGCTGTAAACTGGAGACTCTGGTAGCTTCGTCTGTTGTTCATCACCACTCATCTCCTCACAAGCCAAGAAAAGCACAGCTGCCAAATTGCTGCACAACAGACCATATATTTACCCTCGAGACTTGATCAAGAATAAGACATAAAGAAAAGAAAGGTTTCTTTGATTCCATCTGGCATGGCTAGGCTACTTGAAAGTGGCGTTGGGGGGGGGGGGGGGCGACATATGATTTGATTAAGAAGATGTATACAAAAGCAAATACACTTGCCTGAGAATGCTGTGGTCTAATACAAACGGTGATATGTCCTAAGTTGTTTAACACATCTAGATGTGAATACCAGGAAACTCTTGTCTCATACTCATCTTTTGATCTTAAACCCAAATGTCTTCAGTGAACAACAAAAACAAAGGAATTTGCCTTACCGTTCCAATACTTTTGGAGGGGACTGTATACTACCACTTGAAAAATGGTTCTCATTTTCAAGTGGTAGCATTCAAACATTCAAATATGTCGCATTAAAATCCAATATCCAAACTGATTAGACTGCACTGATTGTATATCTTCAAGACTTTAAATTTTACATGGCACATAACATTTTGTAACTTACTGAAAACTGAGGTTTTAATATTTAGACGCTATCTTCAATAGATGTTGTAGCTTAGTGCCACAATCCAACTTTTCCAACTCAGAATTATCTAGATAATTAGACACTTTCTGCTATCGCCACAATTCAAAACAAGATGATATATGGATTACTGATTAAATCCGGAGGGAGGTTGCATCATTCATGAAGAGCAGTAAGTGTAGACTGATTGTACAGATTATTTCATTATCTTTGTTTAAAAAAAAAACTAATCTAAATTTGGTTCCCAAAGTGAGATGGCCTGCGACACAATGATGAATTGTTTAATTTCACTCTTTAGCTCCCTGCAGCAGTTGTTAGTGCTGTTCACATTCATATGAAAGCAGTTGATTGATTATTGATACTGCAAATAGTTTCTCTGATTAGTTCTCTTCATGTGGTGAAATAAGCTTGAGTCAGAGAAACCAGCTGCTTCAGTTAGTCTTTGGATAATATGAAAACATGCATGCACATTAATTCCATTGATTTACCCCTTTTTAAAAACTGATGGTGTAGCTGTTTACTGTTGCATCTTCATTCTTCTGAAGGCATACTATCTGCATCCACTATTCCACCTTTCAGAAACAACCTCCTCTTTTAATGCAGTGATGGATCGTACCAACAACATATATCTAGCTGTGGGAGGGCCTGTAATAGCATCCTCACCAGCGCGTGTCTCATCCCACCTGAATCCAGAATTAAAAATATCTCCTTCTGATCCATATTTCATGGCCTTCCCCTCCCACTACGACCACACAGCTCACTAACACCACCGCCTTTCTGCTCTCCCCCGGATTGAAATACAATCCTTTGAAAGATTCATGATGTAATGAAGAGAATGGCTTATCTTAACAGATCTAAACTTGAAGTGATTTACAGAGAAACTGGCTTATCTCCCTATAATGTCTTATTGTGTAATCAAGCAAAAGGAAAGAGAAATTCTGGTTTATTACTGTTGTTTTGGCGTTATCCTGTTGGTAATAAAAATATTGTATTCAAGTTAATAGCATTACATCAGGGACTGCAGCAACAAAGGCTGACATCTTGATACCAGGGAATTGACAAAAATTTTGGGGTGTAGGGTCTCAAGTGGGGAAAAAGGGCACTTTTTATAATTATATATTTAAATTTTAAACACAAATATTGTGTTAAATATATTAACACAACTCTGTCTACCTTCCCTCACGCAATTGTTTTGTAACAAAATAATCAGTTCACACAGACCATGGTTTTCTTTAGTAGTCACTAGGTTTATCACAAGAGCAGGCAACAGCAAAGGAAACTATGCCACAATATGCATGTTTTCTATCCTACTAGTTTCAAATATATTTAGAATAAATGACTGCACCAAGGAGAGGGACATTAAAATACACACCATACACACAATAACTGATGGTGACAAGGACTTATAGTTACACAGTTGAGGGAGGGCTGTCTGTATCACTTAAAAATCTATTGGATATAGATGAGGAGCCTACAAATAAAAATAAAGTAGTTACTGTTTAAGGCAGGACAGTGTAGTGGTCAGTTTTGAGATTTTGGTCTATTTTGCATCCTTGTCGTCTTTTACTGTAAAACTTCCAAAATACGCCTTTAGATGGTGTTTGTTTGAAGCCTACTACCCTCCGTCTGTTTGCACCTGTAGATTTCTTTTACATATTTGAACTGAAAATTTCAGGGGAAAAGACTTTTGATGTAAATCTTTAACTGGGGAAGTTCTGTTGTGATATGCTTTAGTTGGTTTGTTTATCCTATTCATCTGCAATGTCTTATCAAATGTATGCAAATTAGTACATTTTAATTAGTTAATGCCTAATTTGAATATCAAAGTTATTAGACACAAATTTTACTGTATTCACCTGTAGTGTCTCCATTAAGTACAGTACATTAGCCTGTATGGCCATGATATATTGCCTTTAGCTAGCTAACTTATTACATTAGCTAGTAGCTTATGAGTCATGCATGTTTACAAGACAGAAGTCAACTGTATTGGTCTTTTGGCTAATTAGCTGTAAACTGGAGACTCTGGTAGCTTCGTCTGTTGTTCATCACCACTCATCTCCTCACAAGCCAAGAAAAGCACAGCTGGGGTAGGAGCTGAGAGGGGCTGCTGCCTGTCTGTCTGTGGTGCTGCTCTGTGAGAGAAAGAAAAGCACAACAAGAACCAGCTCTATGAAAATGAGGAATCTAACAAGTTCTGGGAGAAATGGAACAACCTAAACAAAAGTAGTAAGCAGTAACAGAACAAGAATTAATAGATGTCATCCAATCCCTGAATGGAAAATAGGCTCCTCAACTAAATGGTTAAATACTTAAATACGAAAACTATTCAATACTATTTTATCAACTGGAACTTTTCCTGACATCTGGAACAAAGGTTTAATAACCCCAATTCATAAATCCAGAGATAAATATGATCCAAATAACCACTGGGAAATATGTGTGAAAAATATTCTGCGACATCATTAATAAACGACTTGTCAACTTTCTTGATGACCACAATATTCTGCACAAATACCAGATTGGTTTCCTGCCAAATTGCTGCACAACAGACCATATATTTACCCTCGAGACTTGATCAAGAATAGAAAGGCCTGTTTCTTTGATTCCATCTGGCATGGCTAGGCTACTTGAAAGTGCCGTTGGGGGGGGGGAAACATATGATTTGATTAAGAAGATGTATACAAAAGCAAATACACTTGCCCTTACAGGGATTAATAAAGTTGTATTAGATTAAATTTAATGCAACCAGGTGTATTCCTCTTTGGCGAAAATGCAGAAAATAAATGAGCTCTCTATTAAAAGCCAAGCAATATCCAATGGGAGCAAGTCAGATTTTTAAAGATCTAGAGCTAAATTATACCCTTAAATAGTACAAAAACAATTTCCTCCACATGCATTATCATTCACCTGAAATATGAAGCTGTTTAAAATCAGAAGCAGCAGAGAAAAGGGAAACATCGGGCAAACAGTTTTTCATTGTTTTGAAGACAGAGAAACTGTCTGTCAGATTGTTAGGCTGGTAAAAATAGCTCTGTGGTGGCAGTGCGGCTCAGGTGAGGCTGTGACACCACACTTTACAAGACGCCCTCTCCCGCTAAGACACCCACCCTCTGTCTCTAATACATATCAGCAGTGTATTAAATCCAAACCTAAAGACTTTTCTCTCTCATTCATTATGGAAATAACTTCCCTCTTCCAGTATCACTGCAACAGCTGAGACCTGTGTTAGTGCAGAGCTGTGTGCGCTTATTTGTGCATAGAAATGCACCTTTATCTCATTTGTATGTGTTGGTGTGTGTGCATGCTGGTGTTGGTTGGAGGTGTGTGGTACGGTGAGAGCCAGGGGATGCTGGGATTATTTTCAAGTTGGCTTGATACCTTGCTGCTGCCCTGCTGTAAACAGTATGACTTCTCACTTTGCTTTTTTTCAGTGTTTCATTATTCCATAATGCAGCGCCTCGCTGTAGGTGGAGAGGAATTCCCAAATAGAATTTCTTTGGTGGTTATTGGATTAGACCTAAGGCGAGGTCACCTGCCCAGCTTTTCATATATTTGCTCAGAATCTTGTTTGTGTCGGAAACAGAGAGGGTAGTCAGAAATAGTAATGTTAAAGTCAGACTCTCTGGGCTCAGATTGGTCCTGAGACCAATCCTGCCCTGCAGACTCTGTGAGGCTTTTCTGTCTGGCAGATTAGAGACACTGGAGGGTGTGTGAGGCTTGTATGTTTGTGTGTGGTCTTAGTTTCAATATCATTTCCAGCACTAACGCATACTACGTGTAATTAGATTGAGTTATCTTTCCTCAGAAAGCAGATAAGAGTTTGAAGTTGACGTTGAAAGACAGAGAATGAGCCAACCCTACAGCTTTAGTAATATGAGAAACTCTCAAACTACATTGAGTTGTAAAGTAGAGACATGGGCACAAGGGAAAAGCTTGATTTACTGAACTACTACTAAACTACTTATGTGAAGGGAACTATGTTCAGGTCGTTTATCTCATGTCAAACAAGTTTCCAGTTATTTTATTGGACATATTAGCAGCATGGCTCCATGAATGCTGATGTCAGTTGGTAGTTTGGTCCAACAACTTGTCCAGAGAGAAATATCTGGACAACTATTAGATGGACGGCCATGAAATTTGGCATCAAAGGTCACCAGAGGATAAATCCTAATGATTTTGGTGGTTCCCTGACTTTTCATTGAGACAAAACCTCCACAAGTACATGCTTACATTGTCATGTCATCCTAATTGCACACATTTTAACATGGCAGGATGCTAAACTTTACATGCTGTACATTAGCACGCTATAACACAAACCAACAGAGGCAGCGGTAGACCAGCAACACCCATGTTCTGTTTTTTTGTCTATGGGGTTTGGTGGCTTTGACGAGAGTTATATAGCAACAGTTTCTGGTTAAACAAAAATGTTAATAAAAGGTTAATAAAAAAGGTCTCTCTGTAGGGATACGTTGCATGATGTCATCAGACACTTGTAATAATCTGAGCCTGTCGGTGACAACAGACATGTATTTTGATGGGGCACAATTGCCAAAAAGGATTACGTTGCAGCCCTGATTCACTGCTACCGACTGCAGCACACCAGGTTGAAAAATACCAAACATACCCTCTAGTTAAGTTTAGTCAACTAAAACTACTTAATTAGCATTTGAGAAACATTGTGGTCATGGTTTGAAGGAACCAATTTTGACACATAAGGAGAAGACAGGACACAAATCCCAGTCTCGGTTGTCAGTTTGTGTGCACAACAATCCAAACTAGCCACTTCCCAAATACATTTTAGAGACAGTATAACAATACACTACTTCATGTCAAAATACAGCAATTGAACAAATTACCTGTGGTGCCTGAGGATAGCCACACTTACATGAGACCAGGACATCAAGAAAAATAAACCTGTTCCAATTAGTACAGTCTCCTTTTGTGTTTTTTCTTGTATCAGTGAATGACATTTCTATTATGAAGGCATGGGTTCAACAACACCCAACCTGCAGGGGCTCCTAAGACACCATAACTCAAACAAACCAGAACCAGAGTTGCTTATACAACTTTCATAATCATGTCTTCAGACCGTCGCTTTCTACAACGGGGGTCGGCAACCTTTTCTGTGATGATTGTCAGTATACAAATATCAAGACATCCAGTGTACGAGCAGCGTTTCTTAATGCACATGTCATTTATTTTTAATTTATGCACTGATAGTTAGTCAGACTATTAATTGAAGTGTGACCTTGTTAATAATAGAATAGGGCTAAGTTTTGTAACTTGTTTGTAGTTTGTAGTTTTTAAAAAATATTCTAATTCAAATAGATTTTGATAGTGTAGAGTGTATGTAATGATAAGAAACAAACTTATATAACTAAACATCTTTATTTCCCATACATTCATAACCTTTTTTTTCCACTGTTCATATGCAATAACAATGCCACAACAATTTCTATTAAAAATACTAATAGTATTACCAGTTTGAGTGTGTGTTTGGAGTCTATTCATGAATAACGGTTACTGTGTGTCCGTGTCAGAATCCGTGTGGCTGGGATTAAAGGTCTGCAAGGCGTGGTGAGGAAGACGGTGAATGATGAGCTGCAAGCTATCATCTGGGAACCTCAGCACATGGACAAACTGATCCCATCCATGCTGTTCAACATGCAGGACAGCGAAGACCTGGACAGGTACTGCACACACACATACGAATATATACACACAAATACTAACACACACAGAGTTCAGTTTTCTGTGTTTTGTCATTTCTCTCTGAATTTGGAACTGGAACAAAAGGACGCTCTCAGGCAAATATTTATAATAAGTGGATATAAATTAAGCGGACTGCATTATATTAAGAGATGTTTCTAATGTTTTGCACACATTTAAAAATATAAAGGGGGATAAATGATAGAAACCCGTTTCACTAAATGCCATCTCTTTCTTTTCACTTTTCTCACCTCATTGCATTTTTCTTTTATTGTGTGTGTGGGGTGGTTAATCCATCTGGACTCTTCCTCTGTACAGTAACAGATCTCAGATCCCTCTGGAGTTGCACTGCTCTGTGATTCTCAGGCTGAATTTAAGCCTCAAAATCCAGGTTCAGAGTCCTGTAAACCTCCAGAATCCGCTATAAACATATACACAGCAAGAAACATCCCCGTTAGCCCTGTCTAGATTAGATCAGATGTCACAGTTTCCAAACTGATTGTTTGCTGATGTAATAAAGTTCACTGTTTAGCAGGATTAAACTACTGTTGCGACAGTATTTTATGTTTCCAAGTTGTTGTGTTTCCTGCTGCCACATGAAGCTATTCATGTGGCAGCAGGAAATATGTCCTTGAGTTTCACCTGATTATAACTCATTTTTGAAAAAGACCTTTTTTTCCCTGCAGCAAACAATTCTTTTCTTTATCGAGCAGTGTTCTAGGGACAGCAGGTAATTTATTGCTCATTCAGTCTGCTGTCTCGGCTTTGTTTCTCTACCCCCTTACTGTCAGTTTGTGTAAACGTGGAGAGTTTAGGAACTGAGGCTACTCAGACCAGATGGTGCTCAAGGTTAATGCAGCAAAGCACAAACTGTTAATCAAGAGAGTTTGGGAACCAGTTTTCATATTAGAGAGACCCTCTGCTTGTATTTCCATCATTTAAATTGTTTTTGAAATAAAAGCGCCCTTTATACCCAATTAACTGTATGAATGTTTACTTATGCGTGTAATGCGGCAAATATTTGCCCTTAATCTTATACCCTTAAACATGAAAAATCGCTTTCTGTGTGAACACACAGTAACGGATGTTAAGGGTTATTACTGTTATTACTGGTTTATGACAAACTCTTGTAGTCTGGGGTGTGTTTTCTGCTCTCTTTGTCCTTTGTTTGGACCCCTGACCTACAGCCGATTTTTTATTGAGAATTACTACCTCGTGATGGAGCGTTTCTATTTTAACCCACACAGCTTTTCTAGCATTTACTGTGCTGGTTGAGAGCCCCAGGAAACTCACAGACCAATTGCATGTGCTCCAATCGTGTCATGTGATGCTGCTCAGCCAGTCAAATCTGTGCATTCCGATAAGCGTTGTGAGTCGAGCCCTCAAGTGGGATACACCAGAGACGTTTTGGAAACGCACACGAAAAGAGGAGACGATAGAGAAAAGAAATTTCACATGGCTTTTAATCAACAATGTACAGATTCTTACATGTACGTTCCTCCCACGGGCAGTTCAAAATCAGAATATCTCATATATCTCCTATCCTAGCTGGCAGGTAAGCAAGAGCTCACGTTTCTTACTGAACAAGAGAAAGTAGGAAAGTGGTAGCTCTATAAGCAGGAATGACAGAAGAGGTATTACAACAGTTTTTTTTAAGATGTGTTGAGTATTTATTATAAAATTGGTTGTGACTACACTTTATCACTTCAAGCTACACTTTTTATTTCATTTTTTTCTGAAATTAAGCAATTTATTTTAGTTTACTTAAATTTAGAATTTATTATTAGAGTAGTTATTATTTATTATCCCTCCAGTTTGATGTGAAAACTGACAGTGAATATTCTTGAAATATTATTTGATTGACAGTCCGTTGTTGACTAAAAACATGTTGATTCGACTATACGTTATGGTACTGAATGATAACGCAAGTTAGTGGTTATGATATTCTGGAACTTTGCTTCAGGAAATTTTCTGTAACTGGACCTCTTTGAATTGTAATTGAATACCCCTGCTCTAAAGAAAATCCTGCTGATGGATCTGTTGTGACTCACTGGCGCATCAGCTGAAGGAATATAAACGTTTGCCTGAACTCGATCCTGGGTATTAAATACTTGGCTCCCCTACCACCTCCACACACCTCAGACCTCATTATACAGTATTCGTTCAATCCTCAAACCCAGGCCCATAGCCTCGGTGAAAGAGGAAATCCTGGTGATGTGTGTAACTGAGAAGTTTTCTGCGTCTTCTCATCCCCTTCTGGGATTAAGAACGCTGCTCTACTTTCACCGGCGTTGGAAAGGCCGGAAAGATTTAACACCGCAAGGATCAACGAGGCACGACAGGGCGCTTAACGCTGTTATTCCTGTCTTTATTCTCCATTTTTCATATACGTGTGTGTGTGTGTGTGTGTGTGTGTGTGTGTGTGTGTGTGTGATCCCACTGTGTACCCAGATGACAGCGTAAAAAGTTGGAGACAAAACAATACAGATAAAACAACAGTAGAAAAAGATCACAATAATAAAAAGGCTAAGAAAATCCTCTGCTTGCCGTTTACCTCTTCTCTTCTCTAATTCTTTTAGATCCTCTCTCTACTTATCTCCTCCTTTCGTCCCTCTCCTCTTCCTTTTCCTCTTCACATTCTCCTCCTGCGCCACCTCTCTTCCTCTTTCCATTCTCCCCCTCCCTCTTTATCTCTTTTATTCTCCTCTTTTTATAATCATCACTCCTCTCTTCCTTGCTCTCACCGTGGCTTCCTCCCTCCTTCCTCTCCATCTCATTCGTGTGGTTTCCATGTGAACAAAAAGCTATTTTTGGACCCTGTTTGTTCTTCGCCCTTTGTTTCCTTTCTTCTTGTGTGTGCTTTTCTCTACCTAAAGTTCCACAAGTACCATCACATGTGGAGGAATTAAGGGGTTAGGATGTGATCCAACCCTGGCCGGTGTCTAGATGTCGTTATTTGGAGATGTTGGAGATTTTGTCTGGCTGACGACGACACAGGTGACACAGGGAAGCTCTTCTCAAACCCACAAAGCATCTACGTCCATCCTGAACAGAAAACAGCAGTCACTGTAGAAACCAGGCACTCTGGTTGGTTTGTACAAGACTGAAAGCTCATCCATTATTGTGTCATGTCAGATTTGTGTGTTGGAAGGTTCAGCACTCTCTCACTTTGTCTTATGAAAATTCAAAATCCAAAAAAAATATTTTTAGTATTTGAGATTTCTCATTTGGACCTGAACCTGGATCATGACCGGAGCGCAGAGCTGTCATCACACTGCCCACTCATGCTAGGAAGAACTTAAAATTAGTCCCTCGTTGCTCTGGCAAAGAGGTAGTTTAATGACTGTCAGCCCTCATGCAGCTACATTTGGCATGATATGTGCTTTTAACCCGCAGCATGTTTACATAATTATTTTTTCTTCAGTTTATAATGGCCCGCTCTTTAAGACAGCAGCGACTTGTACATTTTATGTGAATCACATTCATCAACAATTTTATCATTAAAGAATTCTCAGTTCTGAAATGATTCTTGATTGATTGGTTGATTCACAGAACTGATAACAGTTCTTATAATGTATTATGTATTAAGTTTTTTTTTTTTAAACATTTGTTTCCAGCTTCACAAATGTGAGGATTTGCAGCTTTTCTCTGTTTTATACCACCATAACATGAATATTTTGGGCTTTTGGACTGTTGATCAGACAGAAAAAGCGTCCCTCACATTGTGCTGTGGGAAAATTGTGTTTTGACATTGAAAGCAGTTTTTAAAAAAATGTATTGACTAAATTATCAATTTAAAAAATATTGACCGTTTCATTGAGGATGAATAAAACTGTGCAATACTAAATACTTTTCTAATATTTTTTGTTTTCTTCTAATAAAACATTTGCAAATATGATGTTTTTTAATACAAATTATTTTTATTAGTATATTAGAATTAATAGTTTGTTTTGGAAACTTATTCCATATTTGCTAGCTAGCAGTTGTCTTGTGAGTTGCTATATTTCTTACCATCAGCAGCTGTTGATCAGCAGGATCACTTAAAACCTAATAAAGTAATTTAGCCCCTCATTTCCTCATTTAACAGACATGCAGGCCTGTGCAGTCAGCATGTATATGCTCCTGCGTGTGCTGGTAGACAGGAGATCCTTAGAACCCAAAACAAGGATCTGCTCATTAAGACATTGCTCCATACCACCACTGGTGGGCGAATCCTGTTCCAGAGGAATTGAGAACATGCAGTGACTGTTTGCAGAGCAGAATCATTACTGTGGGGAAATGTGTCAAACCTGCTGAGAAAATCTGAGGGGAATCATATATATTGGTTCACAAAAAAGACACTAGGCTCTGTTTTGTTCATTTTAACTGTATATTTGCATAGCAGGCCTCCCTTTGAGAATTGTCACACTATACATCAAATAAATCACCTTGAGAACAACCTTCACCAACAATGGACATTATTATCAAATCAAAACCAGATCTTTCTTTTCAAATGATACCTGTGCACTCTGCAAGCTTTCCTTTGTAATCTGTTTGAACGTAAGAAGTTTAACTTTAGTATGACTTGCACATGTGAGCCCAGTAAGGTCTGTAACAGTACCAAGCGGTAAACTTCCGGTCTGAGAACTGAAGCGAATGCAGAAGTCCCTTAAACCTGCATTCTATCAAACGGCCAGCAGGGGATGACTCGGGCAAAAAGAGGTCAGGTTCCATTAGAAATAATGGTAAAACGACCCTGCTTATCAGCTGATTTAAGTTGCTAGTTTCAAGTCTTCATTAATACAGCATGATATACATTTAGTAAATGATGGTCCCATTTTAGAGGAAAATGGAACACAAAGCAGAGTATGCTTCAGGGTGGGACTATCTGTGATTGATTAGTCATTACCATGGCGACCTGTCAATCAGGCTACAGTGACTCGTACGTGTGTAAATTTAACCAGCGCTGTTGAAAAAGCTTATTAGGAGTTGGCTGTTCACT